CCCCTTCCCCCCACCCTCCGCCACCACCACCACTACGCTCGCGCTCGTCGCATATCCTTGATAACATGTTAATATAGCGAAGTCATTAAAGTTACACAGCTGTATCTTTACTACTGTACTACCAGTAGGTATAGCCTATCATAGATTTTAGATCTGTATTAGTAGTATCCTAGATATATGCTCTGAGCGCGAACGCAGTGGCAGGAGGGCGCACTTGATTCGGTTGCCAGTGAGTTTATCAGAAGAATACTTGGTTGTCAGTTGAGCGCTGTCGCTCTGCGGCACTTGTTAGAGAGTCCTGGACCATATGCCGCAAAAGAATAAGTTTGACACACCCGCCGTCATTCTCGCATGACATATATGTTGCAATTTTTCCATCTGCGCGTTCTTAAGATCGCACAGCACAATCTACCGATCGGCAGACTGCGGCAATCTTGAGATTGCGCTGCGCATTCTTTCAGCTTATCAATAACGAAGTAATCGATACGTTGACGGAACTTTTCCATTTTTACTCTTAGAAGAAAGTGTTCTAGACTAATCTAAATATGTTAATTACAAGTAACTGTTAACCTATAATCTCAACTTTACAATTTCACCGAGAGGCAGTGAAGATATGATCAGAAAGGCCCAAAAAGTACGCTTACAAATCCTGTAAAACTGGGCCTGCACAATCGTATCGAACTCTAGCACCCAAACCCACGTGGATAAACCGTCCAGCAAACTCTGTAAAACCGGGGCGATCGGAAGATTGCGCATAACATATATACATATAAAAAAAAAAAAACATATATATTAGGGCTGTAACGATCCACCGAAATCGAATCGGATCGAGATTCTCTTCCCTCGATCCGATCCTCGATATTTTTCCCTGTATTTTCGATTCCACTTCGATACCACTTTTTTCCTCCAATAGATGGCGGCACTACGCTATGTACTGTGGAGTGTTACCAGAGCATATAAATAACTGATTTATATGCTCTGTTGTTACTCACCAATGTTACTCAGCGACTGTGCAGTGTATATATACTCTCTAGACTCTCTAGTCTATTCACCATCCAGTATTCATTGGCAATTTCTAATAATTGATTATTGCAAAATAATGAAAATATAAAAAATAAGATAACATTTCAATATTTTGGGAATCGAATCTACGGTGGCGCAGAAGGCTCACCACAAATACAAATCCCACAACACAAATACAAATCCCACAACACAAGATGCAAACGCCACAACGACATAATGGCAAACGTCCAACAAACTACAAATGCCAAAATGCCACAACACAGGTAATGCAAATGCACAACACAATGCAAAATCCCACAACAAAAGCAGAACGCCACAACAAAATGCAAATCCCCTGACCCGCGCCCACCTGTCACTGTTTGTATGGGGCGCATTGTATCAGGAGTAGATAATCAGTATATTTACTTTATCATTCTACTCTGGATTCGTTACAGCTGGTGACCCCCTCCCCGCCGCGCACCGCTATCATGCTTATATGGTCGGTAGAGAAGCTCATATAGAGAAGGACCGGGGGGGCGAGGGGGGGCAGATCGGAGGAGAAGCTGGTGGAGAAAGAGGAGGGGGGCAAGCGGTGTGGAGCGAGGAGGAGGGGGAGAATGCTGGTTGAGAAGGAGCGGAGGGGGATGAAGCTCGGTGGAGAAGGATGGAGGCGGGCAGGAAGCTGGTGGAGATAGGAGGAGGGGGAGAAGGTAGGCTTTCCCCTTTCCACAGGATTCTCCCTCCTTCCTTACTCCACACGCTTCTCACCCCGTCCTCCTCACCAGCTTTCTCCCCTCCTCCTTCTCTACAGCTTTTTCCCTTGCTCCCCCTCCTCCTCCTCCACCACACTTTCTCCCTCTCCCCCGTCCTCCTTCTCTCCAGCTTCTCCTTCTCTCCCTCCTCCTCCACCGATTCTCTCCTTCTCACCCTCCCTCCTCCATCCAAAGTTCTCCTCCTTTCTCACAGACGCTTCTCCTTTCTCCCCTCGTCGTTCTCACAGCTTCTCCCTCTCCTTCTCACCAGCCTTCTCCCCCTCCTCGCTTCTCTACCGCTTCTCCGCTTCTCCCCTTCTCTTTCGTCTACCAGCTTTCCGCTCTCACAGCTCGTCTCCCTTGCTCCTTCTCACCAGGCTCTCCCCTCCTCCTCGCCACCAGCTTTCTCCCCTCCTCCTTCTCTACAGTTCTCCCTTCTCTCCCGCTCCTCCTACCGTCCCAGTCTTCTCCCTGTCTCCCCCCTCCTCCACCAGCTTCTCCCTCCTCTTCTCACCAGCTTCTCCTTTCTCCCCTCTCCTTCTCCACCAGCTTATCCCTCCTCTTCTCCAGCCATTCTCCTCCCTCTTCCTTCTCCACCGCTTCGCCCCCTCCTCCGTTCTCCACCAGGCTTCGCCACTTTCCTCCTTCATCTTACAGCTTCTTATACCCGGCCATTATAGCGTCGATAGCGTGGCTGTGCGAGGACGGGGGAGGGGGTTTGTTTAACAGCTGTATACAATAGGAGTAGATGATAGGAGTAAGATATTCCTGTTACTACTTGATACAATGGCCAGTGAGAAACGAGTACAGGTGGGCGTGGGCAGGGGATTTTGATTTGCTGTTCGTAAGCGTTTGCATTGTGTGTTGTGGGATTTTTGCAGCATTGTGTTGTGGCGTTTGCATTTGGTGTTTGTGGATTTTGTTATTGTGTGTTTGTGGCGGTTTGGCATTTTGGTTTGTGAATGTTTGCATTTGTTGTTTGTGGGCGTTTGGCATTTGTTGTTGTTGATGTTTGATTTTGTGTTGGCGGGATTTGACATTTGTGTTGCGGATTTTGATTCTGTCGTTGGTTGGGATTCTGTATTGTGTTGTGGGAATTTGTATTAAATTTTTGTGGTTGTGGGGATTTGGTATTTGTGTTGTGGGATTTGTATTGTGCGTGGCTTTATGCGCCAACTCGTCGAATCGAAGGAATCGATCGAGAGGCTTGTTGTATCGTTACGAGCTGCCAGATTATGATTGATATAGTATATAGGGCCACAGGGCCCTCCGATGGCGACCATGAAGGGGGCCCACGATGAAGGCTCATGATGGGGGAATTGATTTTCAGTTGAATTTGACTTGGTTTTTTGATTGTTTGATTTTGTTGGTTTTTGATTTTTTTTGATTTTGTTGTTGTTGATTTTTAGTATTTTTTGGTTTTTGGGGATTTTTGGTTTTTTTTGTATTTTTTGTTTTATTGTATTTTGTTTGTTTTTTGGATTTTATTGTATTTTTTGTATTTTTTTGGATTTTTTGGATTTTTTTGGGGGTTTTTCGGATTTTTTGGGTTTTTGTATTTTTTTGTATTTTTTGGGTTTTTGGATTTTTTTGGTGGATTTTTGGAATTTTTGGTTTTTTGGTTTTGTTGGGTTTTTTTGAGATTGTCGGAATATAGCTCTGCGATCTCTTCCTCCTCCCTCTCTTACTGGGATCCTGCGCTCTATATGGCCATCGTGATTGAATGTTGTATGCAATGTGACTGTGCCAGGGTAGAATGACCTATTATAGGCTAATATATATATAGGAGCAATAGACGACATTGCATATTGCCGTATAAATCCAAAAATGGGAAAATCAGAAAATCCAAATCCGAGAATCGGCTGTGTTATTTGTGAATTCATTCCGTTAACCTGGCACAGTCAGATTGACATACTAGAAATAGCTTGAAGGCACTAACAAAATAGCCATATATGGTTGTCCACAGACAAGGACGGACAGACGGACGGACAGAGATCGAGATATATTATATAGTATACATACATTATGTGTGGTGTGCGTGCGTGCGTGATATTGCTGATGAGATAGTATCTTTTTAATGGCAAAAATTGTTTCAAAACGTGCTAATATCTGCTTGGGACCATTTCGTTAGGTTATGGAGTTACTTATCAAGAAAGACCAGGTTACTTAGCAGCGTCCCGCAAGGAGGCGGTTGATCTGGACCGTTACACGTTGCCCCCCCCTACAACTATAGCTATCCTCACCACGCAAGTGTAGGGTTTGTCTGTAAGCTTGGTGTGTTGGCAATATACATTTATTGCATTATTACATTTTCTTCACGACACTATGTTCTTAGTGTTTTCTCCAGAATAGTTTCATAGTTTGTTTCACGAGGCTGACTGTGCGGCAAAGATACAAACTTGTTGGCGACTATAGGATTCAATTGGAATTAACCGCCCTCACTTAATCCCCATAGGAGAGATTTAACCTTCAAGTTTTTTTTTTGTTTTTTCTCCCTTATTCTTTCACCTATCATCGAAACTTCCTCTGTTAACTCGATCATTCCTTTTTATGTCCTCTGGTCTGGATCTTTACGCTTAATGATTTTGCGTTTAGTTTTTAATTGTTTTTTTTTAATCTCTTTGTTTTTTGTAAGATCGGTTAGTTTTGTCAACTTTCGTCACTCGCCTCACAAGACCCTCGCTTTTCTCAGCTCATCTGACATTATGTTCAGATGCAAGCTTGTAGAATCGCTTGATGTCCGTCGGTCCGGGTCGGCCCGGTCGTTACGCGATCGGTCGCGGTCGTCTGTCAACAGTGGGCAACCAATATCCTTAACGTCGAAGCGTAGGTCATCGATATTCGGGTGTTGGGAGGGGATCAGTCAAAAACGAGTTGGGCTGTCGAAGCTGGCGGCGAGTCAAAGTGTTCAAGAAAGTCAAGAGGGTGTAATAAGGAGAGGGCGGAATCATTCACTCCTCTATACTTAAGGTATAGGGAGGGTAAATGCGAATTGCGCATCAAATTTAAACGGCTGACCTAGGGCTGCGTGATAGTCAGGGGTTATAGCTTCATGGCTAGAGAAAAGCTCCATCACTGTGCTCGAATTTGGAGCGTCACAGGCTCAAAGCGTCATATGGCACCAGGAGCAGATTTTAGACATTTTTCTGAGGACATGGTCTGATCGGAGCGATTGAAAAAACTTTTTTGTTTCAGCGGCTGCACTTAGCATTTTATGGCAATTATTGAAGGACATGAAATCCTACTTTCGTGCTGACATGCGAAGGTAGTGTAAGATCAGATAACCTTTGACCCTCAAGAGGAGGGATTAAACATGGATTTTGTGACTGTCTGTTTAGAAAGAATATTTGATGCGGGTTTGCTAGTAGAAATCTAATACATGCGCTGGATGTATGAGGCTACAATGTCACAGTGAATTCTCAAAAGCTAAATTTGAGTTGTAAGTAGGTTTATGCTCCTTAAATCGATTAATTTATATGGGCATTCTGTTCAGTGTCAGCTATGTTACATGTACGTATGCCACTGCCAGTGCGCTTACTTCCAGGCAAGTGTTGTGAGTACTGTGGAGTTGTTTTTGCCGTTAAGATCTGCGTTACAGGTGCAGCTCTCTATTGCCGCAGCCTGTAAGGCTTGCTAGTAAAATGGAGTGAGTGACTTACCTATGTCTGTCTTGAGATTAGTGTTGACTACAGTGCTACCTACGTATGATGGTGAGCTCCATCTTTATCTGAAGACACTTAACGTACGCGCATCTCGTGCGCAAACTTTAATAAACATCAACGACACTTCTTTTGAGAAGGTTCCTGATACCATCCCTGTGCATTCCACTGTTTCGGCGTGTATGTGAACACATTTGGGACTAACAGGGTTTACTAGAATCCCAACACTCCACCACAGAGTCACCGCAGTAGACATTAGATGAGCGCTGTCGCTATGCGGCACTTGTTTACATTTCACATACAATGAATGAAATTGCAGGTGCCAGGAAGTGAGCTTTGGTACATAATGTCACCACTGGGCATCGTTGTATCTATAGGTTTCATGTTGCATCTCCCTCTTAACTGTTTTGAATATGGGGGTATACATTTACAATGTAACAATGTAATGTTTACAATGTAACATTTACATTGTAACAGTGTAACATTTACAATGTAACAAGCCCAACATATCACATATCTCAGCTTGGCATAAAACAGTGCTTTGAGCCCTTAATATATTATCAAACTCTGGTATTCCCAAGTATCCTCTGATCCCCCCTATAGATGTATATATATATGCTTTAGGTGGCAGGAAGGGACAAAATATAGCACAGCGTAACTCGCACGTAGCAGAGGCCTCTCCATAGATCTCATATATGGTAACGTTGCCTTGGTAATCTTCTTTTTCTGTTTACCAAGGCCATGTTATCACATCCAGGCTCGATGACCTCATGCATATCTGCTTGGTGCGCAGGGTACGACACCATGCACCCTGCTAAGCCAAATTGTTGAGAGATCTGTTAGTGCTATAGTGTGGCTTTTAACACTCTTCCATAGGTGACTAAAATATGGAGAAAAAGGTTGCCTTAGTAACTGGTGGGTCCAGGGGCATAGGACAAGGAATAGTTTCAGTTTTTGGTAAGCAAATATAAATCTTATTTTACATCTTATATTATTCAGCAAATTAATGTGTACATCTGTATTTTATCAATGTTGAATAGTTAGTAGAAGTACAAAATTAATGCTTCCTCATAACAAATATCACATGCACCAACTGTGAAATTCCCTGTTTTGCAATGTGTGTTAGCTATAATACGGTGTTTCATCATTTTTCAGTCAGAAATGGAGCTACTGTTGTCTTTTGCTCCGAAGAGCAAGGTAACCTTAATTTAAATTATGTGGTTTAATTTGAGTGCTTTTTTCACAGGCAATAGACTGCTAATTTTCAGGCATAGCATGAGCAGATGAAGATAGCTGCATGCCTCCTTTTCCCATGGTTCATTAAGTGATGTGTGATAGCACATATAATTCTCAATTGCCAAGGTATAGTGACACAGCTATGAATGCAGTAAGAGCACAGACAAGAACCTGTATTCCCATGCTACGGTTACCCAAGCCTCTCACACAGAGCTGGCAATGCCATACAATCATGCTGCCAACCCAATGATGATATTTGCCCTTGGTCGCTCATTTATTCCAAATATGGCTCTGTGTGATAAATAAAGGTTTCAATTGACATAGGTCATATTAGTTTTTAAAAAAATGCGTAAATTAAACTTGTGTAAATCGAGAGTTATAATCTGTTGATTTCTTGTATATATGCAAATTTATATTGAAATAGAAAATATCATGGTGCAATGACCGTTGATATGAAACATGATCGAAAATATCTATAGTTTATAGTTATTTCTTCCTTAAATGATGGTTTATCTGCCATTTTTGTGTTTAATCATATGTTTGTTTATTGTAGAAGAGCTCTGTGTCATAGTGGTCTGTTTGTATTGCATGAAATTTTGTTCTTTAGCATTAGTTTTTAGCTCATCTGACATAGTCAGATGCAGCTTGTAGAATCGCTTGATCGTCCGT